GTTTGCTTTGACCAAAAAAAAAAAAAAAAAAATTATTACTTGTCCTTTCTACTATGATATACAGTAAAAACTTGTTACTCTTCTGGCTGGTTTGGGAGCAGTTAGGTCTTGTATTTCTTTTTAGCTCAGTTCAAGTCTTGTCTAGAAAATACCAGTTGGTTCTGAGCTCCAATCTCAGCAAAGCTGACTATAATCAGACTTCACTCTGAAGCTGTGATTTGCTGTGATTGCCTTTTTATTCTACCTCTGAAATGCAGAGCAGTGAAAGGAACAGCCAAGCAGTAAATTTGAAGCCCTGATCACTTCATTGCATTCCATTTCACAAGGATGGTATAAACTTATTGTGGTGTGTAAGCTGCAATGTAGTAGAATCTTATGAGGATACAGTCTCATGAAATCATCTGCCAGTTTTGTGTTCAATAGGAGCAAAATTTCAAGGAAAAGGGAAGGGATTCAGATCAATTCAATACATTGAAAGGCACTTTTTTGAGTTGCTTTGTTTGTGGAATTCATGCTTCACATTTACTGCCTTTTAAGAGCAAAAAACTGCCTTTCCCCCAGTACTTGTATTTTTAAGGGCAATGTGAATGCACAGCCCTTTCTCAAGGAATGCACTAGTGGAGAACTGGGGGGAGTGCAGAAGCTCCCATTGCTGGACCTGTCATCTGTAGGATCAGAGGATGATTTTGTGATCTCTCTAGGCAGGAGTGCTTGCTCGAGGCACTTATGCTATTTTTCAGAGAGAGATTTATTTCAGAAGGAAATTTTCAGAGGGATTCTCATATCAAATGTGATCACTGCTAAAGGAACACATGCAGGGTCAGTACCTGAGCAATAAGTGCATTACGGCTAGGCAGAACTTAAATATTCTCCAGGTTTGTAGCTTGACTTGCAAGTCTGCCATGTTCTTATCTGTGCAGATTTGTTTGTAATTAGTAGCTATGCAAGGGATTTGGTTTAAAGATGAAAGTGTAAATTTCATGAACACCATCTTGATACTAAATTTGGGTCTGTTGCTGTCAGACTGCCTTAAAGAAATTTCAAAGATCCACTCTCACACTTTTTTGTATTTCCAAGTTTCCATGGATAGCAGCTGTCTTTACCAACCCTACTTAGGGGACTGTGCAGCAAAATGTTAACTTGTTTTTGGTGATGCCACGAGCTAGAATGTCTCTGGGTCATGTGTATATATGTTTATGTGTGTGTATGTGCTGTGGCATGACACACTCTTTCCTCTAAGCAAGAAGCCAACAGGAATGTGCCTGGGGCTAGGGTTGTTCCTGAAAATTAATAAAAACCTGCTGTTATTGTGCAATAGTTTTGGGGTTTTCTCTAGATATGCTATAGCTCGTGTGTAAGATAATGGAAATAATGAACCCACAAGTGGTGCAGTTGCTAAAATGTCTGCCTGTTGTCTGTGTTAATATTCCCACTGAGTCACACAGACATGTCAATTCTTCTGTCCCCAAAGAGCAAACTGAACAGGCTCTGGCATCACTCCAAGTGTTTACTCACTCCTTTAGGGAAAGGGAGGGAGTTACCTCTCCCTCAGGAATGCTCTGATCTAGACACTTCAGTCAAACACTTGTGTGCTCTCAAAGGGGGACTGGGAAAGTTTTTTTATCCTGCAGGAGAGGAAGCCTTGTTGCCTGGTGCTGGATTATTGTGCTTTCTTGTAAATCAGACTTTACAACAGCAGGGCTTCATTCTAAATTTCAAGTCAAAATAATACAATTTACTCATCTTGAGGAAAATTTTCAGGTATCCCTATAGAAAAATAGTTTCAGATGAGAATTTTGTTTAAAGGGAAAAGCAGGACTTGTGATGAGGGCTGCAAACATATAAAAGTAGTTTTGAGTCATAAGGGCAGTTGGACTCTTGACATAAAATGGAGACATATAGTCCATCTCAGTCTTCAGAGGGAAAATTCTGCACTTCTCAAGTGACCTAACAGTTGGACATAATAAATAAAGACATCTACCTTGCCCGTGTGATATAGTGTAATTTCTTTCCATGTTTAACACACCAGCACAGAAGGTAGCCCTGCCTTTTCACTCAAGTTAGACTGATGCCTTTCCTGTGCAGATGTGAATGGGGCTCCTCTCCTGCAGGGGTGAAATGCCTGCAGTTTGGAAGAGATCAAAGAAAATCTACTGGCTTCAGCAATTAATTTTGGTTTCAAGAGAAAACTGAAATCGAATTGCAGCATTCATGCAGTGTGAACTAAAAATTATGTAATACTCCTAGAGGAACTCTGCAGTGGTTGTTCAGCTGTTGGTTATACAGAGTGAAGGCAACATTTATTTATTTAGCTATTTATTTATATAATCTTGATATGGTTATTTGAGGGAAGTAACTTACAATTTCTAGGATAAGTCTTGAGTAAGTAAAAGAAAAATTCTGTAGCACAAAATAGATCTGTGTTGCTGTAGAAGGCATTGATTACACTGCAGCATGATTGTGCACTGATTAAGAAGGTTTTCAAGTGGCTATAAATAAATTCCTCCATGCCCATAGAGGAGCACTCTGCATCTGAACAGTATTTGATTAAGAATCCAGTGCCTGAGGGAACTGGAAAAGAGAAAGACATTCAAGACTTTGAAACATGGAGAGAAATACAAAACAGACATTTTCCAAGCAGTAGCATTTTACTGTTAAATATTAACCAATTAACAAAGTTTGAATGTTATATAAGCAAGTAACACATGTCCTAACGTGTCCAGAGGCAAGCTCTGGGTAGGAAACGCCAAGGGCATCTCTCCTTAATATTAGCATCAGAATTAGAAGATCTGTGTTAGGTCCTTAATTTCCTGTATCCAGGGGTTTATCTAATTGGGGAAAAATAAATGGTAAACACTCTCTCTGGGAATGCTCTTAGAGGAGCAGGATCCATGCAGGAATTACTCAGTCAGTTCAGCTGGTAAATCTCCAGCAATGTCTCTTACTCATGGCTTCAGGTGGGGGATTGAAGACACTGCCTCATGAATTGCTGTGTGCCACAGTATCAGGGACTCTCCTTAATGTTTGATCTGTGTTAGTTACCATCTGCTGGCTAATGCCTTTTATTTTATTTTTCCTTTCTAGTAAAGGTAGACCACCAGAAATTTGTTACTTCCTTTTCTGTTATAAAAACAAGTAAAAGAATTGTAATAGTTAAATCTAGATTCAGTCCCCAAAGTACAGCTCTTCAATTCTACATCTTCTATTGCTGTGGTACAAAGAGTGACTGAAAGAAAAGGAGAAAAAGTCTCATGCCAGTGTAATTCACCCAGTTTTGAAGCTTCCTGTGAGTTAAATGTGATTGCACACTTGGGTCTGCTTGCACACTAGTCCTCTCATGGGTGCTTGCTTGTGCAGCTGGAAGTAGATGGGCATTGCCAAATAATTTCTGTGACTGCTTGGCAAAACCTGTGCTCACAAATAGCCCAGTGCTAGCAGCAGCGTTTTTGGTAGTGAAGTCTATTGAAAAGCATGAAGGAAGGCAGTCTAAAGCAAAAGTGCCAGGGTTGCAATGTACAATTAGTGCATAACGGGCATAATTTTTTTTTAGAAAAAGCTCAAAGCAGAGGCTGAATTTAAACAAGTGTCTGCTGAATTTTTTTGTATGACACACAATCAATAAAGCATTATCCTTGAAAATTGTAGGAAGGTCAATTATGCTGGAAATAAGAGTGCTAAGGAAAGTGCACAGAAGTTCTTGGTAAACAGGAAGACCCAGTCACTCCTTTTGTACCGAGTGACAGATTGTGTTAGGAGCAGGAGTGAATCTTACATGGAGGTGGGAAAAGATGGCAATTCTGGGAAGTTCTCAGCACCAGACACTGGAGCAGAGCAGGCAGTGGGGCGTCCAGCCCTCTGAAGGTTTTTTGGTGCTTTTTGCCAGCCTGTCTCGGCACCCCAAACCCCGCCTGCAGTGGAGAACGCACCTGGGCGCCAAACCCCGTCTCTAGTGACGTTTGTCTGCCCTGTGGACTGAAGATGGAGTCAGGTGCGGCCCGAACGGCAAACGGGACGTGAGCCACGGGCAGAGCGGCCACAGCCGCGCCTGGGGCACGGAGCAGAGGCGCTGTGTGCGGGGCGGCCGGAGAGCCCTGCCGGGCACAGAGCCGGACTCGGAACCGCGGCCCTGCTCCGGGACAGCGCACAGCCCGGGACA